TTAGTAGAAACCACAGCACTTCTCTGTAGTACTGTAAAAAAATCCACCTGAAGCACTTGGAATTGCTTGAGCTACTGGAGCAGAACACCTAATGCTGCTGCTGGTGCTGCAGAGGAGCCTGTTCCTCCTGGGTATCTTCAGAGCCTGAAACACACAGCAGTAGGTGCTGACTGCAGCTACCCACTGCAGTGACCACAAGGAGCTTTTCTGTGTGGGTTAATTGTCAAACATATGAGGTTTAGTTTATTACCACATCTAACAGGCATGAAAGATGCCTTACAGACCTGTGAGATAATTCCCCAGTTCCTGCCCAGCTGTGGTCCAGATCTGTATATTTGGGTGGACTGGAGCCGAGTTGTCGGGAGTTTCAAAGTTTGCAACTCCTGCGTTCATGCCTTTTAGGACATCCGCTCTTCCATGCACACAGATAAGGTAAGTTGGTCCCTCCCTCAAGTATGCCTTCTTCAGGATAAAAGAGCTGGGAACGGGAGGACGGTGAGGGCTCGTGCAGCATGGCAAAGAATACACTCTAGTTTATGGATCATTACAAAGCTCCTGAAAATTAAACTATTTTTCATATGCAATGGACTGTGCATGTCCTGTACAGCACTAAAAATATCAAAAGTAGTACTAACAACTAATGTGGGCCATAAATACTGACTCGTATTCATAATATTTTTGTAGGGCCATTATAACTAAACTATAAATGGGCTTTTTATTTTAAGCATTTAATATTAATCAAATGGTTATGAAAGCACATAACAAACAACTGTGACATACTCATGGCCTAAATAATAAAAATGAAATGGGTGATGAATTCCTGTGAAAATTTAATTTGCAAAACAAAGAACATTGCATTAATAAGGCATAATTATATCATCAAATATTAACCATTATTTGCTGGAATCCATTTTATTTTTATTTTGCATTATAAAACAGTAGGCACATAAAACAGAAGGCTGGGCCCCATCTGAACTCTTTGTGCCCCCAGGTTGTGCAGGCACTACACTTGTAAATCAGAGTTTGCTGCTTTGTTTCACTGTTTTCCTTTAAAGGCTCTAATGCTGCATTTAAAATTCTGACATGCCCTCTTTTTTGATACTCAGTACACACCAGGACAGTTATTTCAATCCACATCTCTATGGAGAGTAAAGTGGCCCAACATCCTTCGCAGATCCAGGTCAGTAGATGAACATCCTATCGCGCAACAGCCACCTTCGTTTCTCCATGGGACACTCCAAGGTGTTTGTCACCACAGAAGCAGTGAGAAGACAAAACCACACTGAAGCTATCAAGCTGATACTACCTCCAGTTCAATAGCCAGACTGAGGCTGCTGGTGGGGGTACATTTAGCAGAGACTGACAGCAATTGATGTGGTGACACCACCCTCCATGTGTTATTCCTAGTCATGTGTTGAGATTTATATATTTCCGACAGGTCTGCCAGTCGAAGGGACTGGGGCCTTTCCTGAGGTGCTGAGCAGGATCTAGTGGGATTTCCATACAAACAAGGGCTTGCAGGCATGTCCTCAGCATCTAGGCAGGGTCAGCAGGGAAAGACCAGCCTGGAATGGGGGGCTGTCATCAACTTGAATCGAAACCCTCCCTTCAAGGATCATTGTTATTCCATTGGCTTTCACAAAGTACTGTTGTTGCCGCCCAGTTTTGTGTTGCACTTGCTTTAGACAGCCTTTGCTCAACCCAGCCAACATTGGGAGACTCAATGGGTTCTTGCTTTTGGGGTTTTTTTTAGGTTAATTTGGAAAACTTCCCTGATTATACATCTGCCAGCGTAATTTACACCTCTGAGGATTGGACTGATTAGAGAACCAGTGGAATGATTAATTTTATTCATTGAAGGCAGGGCTATGAGTGTGCTGCAACCTGCGACTGAACTGATACTTCCTTTAATTGTTCAGCTGGGTCCCTGGCAAGCCTGAGGTGAAGCTGCACAAACTCACTCAATAAACGTTTCTGGTAGCCCAAGCTTCAGTGGTCCTGCCAAGCCAAACCAAGCCTCACTTGTCTTCTGCCTACAGGCTTGAAGTTTAACACCCCCATGCACGCATACACAGATAGGAGCAGCTTTTTAATTTTGGATGGAGCCATGCCTATGTCAGGCGCTAGGCTCTAATGCCAGTTGCCTGCAGCAGCAAGGTGCTGAGTGTGGAAGGATGTGCTTTACCCTTATCTTTAGGGGGCTTCCATCACTGGTGTCAAACCCACATTCCTCCTGTGTCTCACAGGCAAGGGTGCGCACTGCCCCAGTACTGGGAGAGGCTATTGGGAAGGAAGAGCAGCAAGCAAGCAGACAGTGCTGGGTCATGCTGCTATTATATATATATCATTAATGAGGAAAGCCATGGGATAGAAAACATGTGTAAAATCTGTGGGAAGAGAGCGGGACGTGGTGGTAGCCTGGAAGATGTTGAAAGTAAGATTGAAAGGACTCATTTGTCCAGGCTGGAAGAGTGGAGGATGAGGGCAGACATGGCAATGTTTCAAATATGTAAGGACTGCCATTAGACCAACTGGTCTCCATGTAGGCAGAAAAGGTGTTTCTTGGTGAGAGTGAGCTGGGTTATAGCTAAAGGAGAAACATACTGTCACCAGCAGGAGATGTGAGCCCTGGTGGAGGGCTGTTCCCATCACCAAAGGTATTTTAAAAAGGTTAAACAAGTATCAGTCAAGGATATCAGACAGGAAGAGCGGGAATGGGAGGGGAAGAGGGGCTGGCTAAGCTCTGGAGGTTCCTCAAGCCATACATGTCCACAGCTCCGGTGATTCAGGCTGGGGCAGTGCCCAAAATGTGTCTGGTGAATTCCACATGTGTCCAAAGTGACATCTCGTCCCAAGCTGTATGCTGTGCTAAAATGGTCCTTGATTTTTGCAGAGGGGTCATGCCTCTTATAAAATGGGATATTTAGGTCATCAAGAGCACCTACATGACTAAAAGCATGGGCTAGATTTTTAATATTTGAAATTATTTTTTGCAACCCTTCTTCAAGCCTGTCTGAATTTTACACTCATTCAGATCAAAGTTTCTTTACTGGCATGGCTACAATGCCTGTACTGCCAAAGCCAACACATAATACAAATTAAATGATAAGTTGCATGAAATATTGTTTCATCTGTATCCAACACTAATATTGTAAGATGTAGAACCCTAACCTCCTTCCTCAAGAATAAAATAAAATGAAAGGTGCCAAAAAAGAGCTGCCAGGAAGAAAGTAGAAGTGTTGTGCTGGGCATTAACTTAACAAGGAAAGGGGGGTGAGGTTAAGCTGAATGAAGCTGATGTACAGAATAGGTCAAAGTAGACAATGGTATCATTAAAAATGCTGCTGTTTCAGGCATGGGCTAGTTAAGTCAGGAGATTAAAGTGCAACGGACTCAGGGATGTTGGAGCTAGAAGGCTGCATTCAGACTAGGAAAGAAAATGTCTTCAGGTGGTGTTTTTTCAGGCTCAGCTAAATTCACTCACCTTTTCTAGTCCTGCTTCGTAGATGTGCCCTAGGGGACCCTTGGCACTCTGAGCAGTGCTGTGTTGGATAACGTTCATCTTCTCCTCCCAAAGATGCATCAGAAGTAGCACACATACACCAGCATGTTTTACTCTTTATTATATATTTAAAGAGTCAGATCTTCTGTGAGGAAGGAGAGCTTAAGCAGAGAGAAGAGTTGCACATCATGGCTGCACAGTGAAAAAAATGAACATAAGGCTTTGCTACCTGCTGTCCTTGCTTTAAGCACCCTCTGCCTACAGCCAGGTGGTAACTCCCTGGACGGCTTGTGTTTCTGCTCATTCGCCATTGTCTCTGGGCTATTTCTTGCTCTGTTTCCCCAGTTGGCTGGGCTGTGCACCAGTGCCTTTTGTGGCAGGTCGCAGGAGGCTGGGGGTGTGTCTGCTCACCCCAACCCACCTGCTCCCGCACAAGTCCTTGGGAAGGGTGGCAGAGCGTTGTGGAGCAGGGAAGGGTGTGCAGGCACGGGAGGGTATATTTATCTCACCAAGGAGGAGTGCTATGGCATGACATCAGCCTAGCTCCCTCTTCGCAGCCAGGCTGTGCTCTGCTGCTGCCCTGTGCCCGCTGCCCTGGCACCGCTCCGGTTATCCGCCTCCAGTCCTCGCCTGCTGACGCAGGGGTTAGTCCAAAGTGCAAAAACAAATGGCTGAGGACCCACGTGCTCTGTTCTGCACAGGGCAAGAGCTAGGGCAGGCCCTGTCACTCACCTGGTGGTGTTTTGGCAGCACTGGTGAGTATCAGCATGGGTTGGGAATTTCAGTCCCTGCCCATCTCCAGTGACAGGCCCCAGCGGCTGAGGACACGCTCTGGCTGAGCACAGCATTTACCAATGGTTATTTCAGGGCAGAGAGCAGGCTCAGAGTTTTGCAGTCACAAGAAACACATTCCTCTGGGTTTATCCTTCCAACTTCATCACCGGCAGCGTGACAGGAATAGTGATTCCAGCCTCTCCAGTGCAGCAGGCTCTGGGCACCCGCAACCCAGTGCAAGGGAGATGAGATCCGGCTTGTTTCACCTCTCCAGGCTGGAGGCTTTCCCCTCTGTCAGCCAGGAACAGTGTCTGAGTGTCAGAATTTCCCCTCCCTGCCCCCCCGGATCAGGGCTGCATTTAGCAGATGCCATGGGTATCTGCAGAGTCCTTAACTGCAAAAAGGGTCTGGCCCTACCTAAAGAGCTGAACAGAGGCAGTGAAACGTACACTTTGTATTTTCGAGATTAATGAGGCTTCTTTCACATGTGACACAGATGGCTGGGTTTTTGGCAGTGCTGAGCACCTACCACTACTACCACATTCACTCAGAGCATGTTGGCATGCAGCACTCTGGAAAATTAGGCCATGTTTCTCCAGTGCAAAAGGCTTGTTGATCTGTGGGATATCAAATGTGTAAAATTATTCGCACTCTGCTTCTTCATAACAATAAAAGGATGACTCATAATTACTTTCTGAGAATATTAAAATCCTAGACACAGTGCTTCTTGTGCTGTACACTGGATCTGTAGAGCACAGTGTATTAAATGCTCTCCTTTATTACAGAATAGTGATGCCTAATAACTCCCGAGCTCAAGTTTCACTGCAGTATTTGTAATTCACATCCATAATAACGTTTTCCCATTTAACAGCCTGGGGCAGACGCCACAATGCGTTATACAGCATGGGTGCAAATAATGAGATAGGATGATGTCATTGTGTGGCATTCCTCCTAAGCGATCTAAAAATACCCTCTCCCACTTTCCCACCTTTCATCATCGCCTGCTCCTTCCCGCCTGATGCTTTTGCACCCGTTCCCATGGTAACAGCTTCTATTGTAGCCCAGACCCTCATGCAGATGTTGTCATTGATCCAACACCTTGCAGCAGCTTTGATGGCACATTGTCTTCTTGTTTCCTGCTTCCCTGTATCTGTTCTCCACCAGTAAGGATGGGTTGGGACGCTGCTTCCTCCTGCTCAGTGCCTTTGATCTGGAGGAAGAAAAGAGGGGAAATATTGATTGGGTTTTATTATCAACCCCAATCATTCTTGGGGTGCTTTTTGAGAGCTAAAATAATATGCTATGGGGCCAGCTACAGGTTTGCTTGCGTGATTGTTAAAATGGGTGCCTTAAATAAAACCGGTAGAGAAATCAAGAGTGATTAGCATTGGGAGATCCTAATTAAAACCTCTCTCTGACAGAGCATGGAAAACTTCTCTTTCACAGGGGGTTGCTGCTGCTTTACTGCTTGCACTCACCCCTTTTTATTTTTCCCTTTTTCTTTCTTCTGTTTCCCCCCCCCCCCCCCGCTAACTGCCTAGGGAAGTTTCCACATTTTGGCCGTGTTCATTGTTCAGGCTTTCCCCACCCAGGCTTTTTTCTCCAGCTTGGCTTGAAGGGAAAGGGAGAGAGGTGGCAGAGCTGAGCTGGAAAAGCTACACCATGGATTACTGCTGAAATGAAATGTAGCTGTAAGAAAGAAGCAGAGAACAAGGAAATTCTGCTTAATCACCTATTGTTTGCAGTTGTTTTGCATTCTTCACCTGTCACTCCTTGCCGGAGTCGGACGTTGTTCTCCTGATGATGAGAACCTGACAGACAGATGGTAATGAATGTGTAACTGAAGACCTGGGCTTTTGCATCTGCATTATTTATTCACCTAAAGCAGGAGCTGCTCTATATTTAGTGAGTGATGTCAGTGGCTTTTTTGCATCCTTAGAAATTGGCAGGGAGCCACATCTCACATGATATATGAAATCACTGATAAATGCTTCTTTTCTCTGAAAGAAAAACAGCTTAATAAATGCGGCTCTTTTCTGCTTTCATCTCTTCCCTCCCCACCACGCTCTCTTCCCCTTCTGGGATTTGTCTCTCGGTGGCAGAGCTCAGCAGCATCTGTGAAGTGGAAATCAGCAGGTAGTACCGCAGACCCAAATGAGGCCGTGGGTATGCTCAGGAAGTTGCTGCCCTCCCAACCCTTCCTCCTCTCCCCACTCCAAAGTCCCGGGCTCTGCCAAAGACCTAGCCAAGCAGGGCGGAAGGGAAAAAAGGGAGTGAGGGAGAGCTTTCTCCTCCAAGCAGCACAGGCTTTGTGGGAACACTGGTATTTGTGGTATGTAATGAGTTTCAGTTGGGTTTTAGCAGGCAGGGAGCAGAGGGGACAGGCAGGGCTCCCACGCACTTTCTTGGTGCAGAAATGGCATTGTGACAGATGCTAGCAGTTTATCTGTGTTGAACGTGTCTTTGGTGCGAGTGTCCAGCAACAAAATCTTACTCCACGCTTTCATGGGGGAAACGCAGCCGGGTGCTTTTCCGGCATTCCTGTGACACCAAAGGCTGTGCAAAATTAGCAAGTTTTATGTATAAGAAATAGATTCAGGCGCCAGATCTTCAGCTGCTGTTACCTGGCAGGGCTCCACCGAATTTTCATGCATCCATTCATGCCAGCTGAGGGTGTGATCCTTAACGCAAATGTGGGGCGAGTCATGGGGGTAAAGAGGCTCAGTGCAGTTCCTAGCTTGCAAGGGTATTCCCAGCTTCCCAGGTTAGGGATAGTTTTCCAAAGCCAGCAGGTGCCATGCTTTCACAGCCTATCTCTATTCTCCATGGCAGCGATGATAAGACCTGTAGGGAACTGCAGATCAACAGATCCCAAGGCTACAGTTTGGGGCCTGAGTGGGTTGCTGCTTTGGCCATCACTCGCTCAGATAAAGAACACAGCCTGCCATGGGGCCAGTGTCCTCAGCAGTGCCAAGTGAGATACAAATTTAAAATAGGCTATTGACCCATGGAAACAATCAGACCATTTGCTTCAGCAATGATTTCTTGGTGGGGTGGGGGGAGAGTCAAAAGCAGTTAGCATGAAGGCAAAGATTTACTCTCCCTAGCATTTCCCTGCCAGGGTTTAACATAACTGCTGCTGATGCAGGCTCAGTAAGAAGCAAAGAGGGAAGACATAGCCTTGCTGCAGAGCTGCTATACTGCAGATGAATGACTTTGCCTGTTTATTAAACAAGCCCATTCAAGTTTCTGCTCCACAGCCATTTACTTGATGAGTTTGAACAATAATGAACTAGGATTAAAAAAAAACCCTGCCCCTGAGAAATTCAGGCTGCTCCAGCAAATGGGATCAAATAAAGTTGGTAGCATTCCACTAATATTCAAAAATGACATCCATGTATCCTGAGCTTATTCAAACCAGCATTTTGCTTTGTTTTTGGTGAATACAGCGACCTGTAGGTTAAGCATCAGAGAGACATTTGGGAGGAATTAAATAGAGAAAGGTGGGGATGGAGCAGGAAAGGAAATTCTTTCAAGAGCTTAGCATAAAACATCCTTCTATAAAAGAATATGTGAGACGAGGTTTAGATGAGACAGTTGTCCTCCCAGGAAAAACATCATGAAGTTGTTACACAGAAACTCATTAAAGAAAAAAGTCAGCCAATGCCACAAGATGATATCTCAGTAGTCCCAGATGTTCACTACTCTGGGAAAAAGGAGGAAATATTACTCTCAGAAATTCACCATGTCTGTGGGGTACTTAAGGAAGCTTGGAGTAAGTTTGTAAAATACATAAAGACGCTGCTTACTGGAGTATTATATGCAGCAGCCAAAAACAGTTAGTCGGCTTTTCAAAATGCTGAAGGGATCCTGATGGCATATACTGGGCAGGAATCAGTACCATGGCTGCTGTTGGACTGGGAATTAGGAAACCTGGGTTCATTCCTGATCATACAATGCATTTTCTGTGTGATAGTGGGAGATCCTACTAGCTGTCTGCCTCTGCTCCTCTCAGTAACATTGGAAAAGGGTCACGATCCTTTGCATGTTAAACACTGAGGGCAGGGGTGGTCTCTCGTCATGCCTCCACCAGCTTGCTTGGTGGCAGCTGCTCTGCTCTCCACTTGGGCTTCAGCTGCAAGGGGCTTGTCTTGCTAGTGTCTGGACATCATTTTTTGCAGCAGTGTTATAGCTGAAAGGCCATGGCACAGATGTGGGAAGGGAAAGGGAGCCTCACTGATGGAACAGAAGGATGAGGAGGCTCCTGAGCCCCCCAGTAGGATGTTGGAGAGACATGACCGGGCTAGGACTTGTGCCCATTGTCACCCCCGGCAGTAGCAGCCATTCCGGGGAGCTGCAGCCAGCACAGTCCCAGCTGCAGATGACAGGGGGATCAGATCCAGCCATGGCAACCCTCTGGTGAGCCTGTGAAGGAGCTTGTCAATGTATCAACCCCCAAATCAGCCCTCAACATTTATAAGAGTAGGATGGCATGTGTGGGTGAGACACACAGCTGGGCAATGGCTGTGGCCTCTCCCAGCTTGCTCCTGTTGTCTTAAAGGTTGTGTGTCTGAGGTAAAAGACAAGAACTGCCAGGCATTTGGGCAGGGTGCAGTGCTTTAAGCAGCACCTGAAGTGGTGGAAGTTGTCATGGGAGGGGTCTGGACCCGATGTCGCCTAGCTTGCACCAGCAAATTCCCTACCACCAGCTGCAGGCCACGATCACAGCTGTGCTACACACAGACACAGCATTCAAACACCTAAGCCGGTTTTACTTCACACATTTCATTCTTTCAGGAGGTGTTTCCATGGAGGTTCTTGTTTCACTGCAGCTGAAGCCCTGACCGTGACTTCAGCATCATTTAACAGCCAAAGAAATGAAGTGAGAGAAGGCTGGCTTGACAGCAGGCTGGACTAGCAGGGATGTTGGCAGGTGGCCCTTAAGCAGCCAGAAGTCCATTAGGGGGCGGACTGAATCTGGAAAGCTGTGATTACTTTCCCCCTCCCTCCTGAAAACCTGGGAGATAACCTGCAAAGCTTTCATAGTGAACAGAGGTGATGGAGAGGGTGTCCAGAGGCTGCAGCCTTTGTATATTCCTAGCAGTTTGCTGGAGCATGAAACTGATCTCTCCAGGCTGAAGCTGGCAGGAGCGGCATCTTACGCTTGCTGGTTTTGACTAGGGGATTTAAGGGCCATCCAGCAGAGTATCTAACTCTAAAACCACAAACAATCAATTAGTTTTGGTGCTCTCAATCTGCTGCGCTAAAGCCAGAGAGATAGATAAAGCAATAGGATGTCAACAACAGAGCTGGGAGGTTAAGCCAGACATGCTGAGTCTCCCTCCAGGGCATAACCACAGCACATACCTTCCTCTTTGGCCCACAGCAGCTGCATCTTAAGGCCTGTTAATCTGGATCAGTGACAGAGCTATTCTCTTCTAGAGGGTCAAAAGTGCTCTTCACATATTTTCACATATTTTCTTAACACAGCAATAACCTGGGTGTTTATTACTCAAGCAAAAGGCAAGTTGCTCCAATTATTTATCTTTATCTAGTATTTTGCTTCATGTGAAGCTGCAAATGGAAAAAATTCTTACATGTCCTCAGAGTTCCTAAACCCAGAGCATTTAATAAGAAATAGGCCATTAGTGACCCACTATCCCTTCACATCCAGAACAATTTCCAGCTGAAACCCTGACAACAATGGAGTAATTCAAAGCTCACAGATGTTTCATGAGGATTTTCTCAGATGATCTAGTCAGATGGATTTCACAAGCGGGCTCTGTTTGCTATCAGACAAATATGATATATACTAGATTCACCTTTACCCATAAACCACTTGAATGAGGCTTCATCAAAGAAAGTATGCTTTTCATCATGCTTTTTACTGGCAACAGAGCTGTGCCCAGAAGCACTTTGTGCTAAGCCTTTTTCTTGTAAATACTTACAAGCTTATTGCTCATCCCCCTCCCTCTTTCAGGATATGGTGGGGACTCAGGAAGGGGGAATGACACTTCCAACATGGCTGTTGGTCTGAATAATGGGGAGCCTTTTGTATTTTTGGGCTGGGGAAGAGAAATTCACTTCCCCCATACTGCTGGAGTTCAGTCTTAATTGCAAATGCGACGTCCTTCAGTGTAATCAGTTATTCCCTTGTTCTGAGCTGTCCTAAGTGCCTGATTGACCTTCACTGTCCCTCTAGCTCTTTGTCCCTCCTGGCAACAGATAAGATAAAACCTGTCAATGTGTTGGAGAGCTCTAACAGATTTTTCCTGTGTGCATTAGGTTGCAGTTTGTTCCCTGACATTGTGTTGCCTGCTTGTCCAACTTTGGCTCTGATTGATGGAGACTAGGAGAAGTTGTTTGAACAGATACTGCAGTCCCACGACATGGGAAAAGACAGGGTCAGGTTAGGCTCACCAGTGTAAGAAATTAAGTGATGAAGCAGTCACCCCCTGTATCTTTACTGCACATGTGATGAACCGTTTTGTGCCCTTTCTGTATCTCTTGGCTCCTGGGAAACAGAAGACATTATAGTGGGACCTGTGATAGTTGTCTCCCCTTCCACCTTCTCTTTCCTCTCAGCCTCACCTCATCTGCCCTCCCTGCCCTTGCCCTTCCTATGACTCTCCCTTAGCTCTTTCCTAATAAAGACCTTAAACCCCATCTCTTTTCACACTGATCATGGCACTGTGGTGTTTTTTGCAAACTCATGTTATGTCCCCTCTGCTTCCTTATTCAATCCCTTTTATTGCCTTTCTCTCTTGAGATAGATAGCTCCTCAGGCCAAGGGCTCCCCTGTGGTTCAGACCTTTACAATGCCTTGCCAAGTGCAGATCCAGTTCTGCCTGGCCCCTCCACATGGGCACAGCAGAACAGAACCCCCCCCCGTGCATCCTGATCCACTGTAAAGCTCACGAACAGCAAGCTCTGCATTAAATTTGCCTTTCTGACAAGGAGGCTGGGCTTGTCCAACGGGCCAGCCACACTGGCCTCATGCGACCTTGCATGCCAGTGGTGACATGGCTGGACATGAAGAATAGCAAAGAAGAGGTCACAGCAACAGTCAGTATGTCAACAATATAGGTTAAAAAGACTTGCCTTTCACAAAAAAAGAGGCTCTA